GCTAAAGCTGAGATGCAGGTCGCGCCGGCTTCTGTATGGAGGAGAAAATATGGTCGCTCGCTAAGGGACAGCTGGAGGAGCCATCACCAGCCATTATTGGCCAGCCTATTGGGACTCGGAGCTGGACTGCAGATGGCGCGGGAAAGATAGCGAAGCATCCGTGGGACGTTAAGGAAGCCTTAACCTTCTAATTTACATAAATAAAAACATTCGTTGAAAATTTCATTTATTTTTATTTTAATATCTTTGTGCACCAGCAGACTCTTCTTTTTGAAATTGCTCCAATTGATTTGTTTTCCGTTTGGCAACAAGCCCAGCTGCTTGACAGTAAGACCATGCCATATGCATTGCGGGTGAACTTTGAACATTTCGGTCACATTACAAAGAATAAGATTTGTCGACTAGTGAAACTCTTAGCCGATCTGAGTACTAGGCTTTAAACAAAAAGGTTCTTAAAACATTCACATAATTATTAACTAGGAAAATCCAAAAATGTCGTTAAAATCTCGTTGTTAAATTTGAAAATAAAAGATAATCGTTTTATAAAATATTTGCATTGGGAAAACAAAAAACACGCGCCTAACTCTATGGCGTTGTGGAAATGAGGAATGTTTAAAACTTAGATTAAGTAGCAAAGGGAAGAGCTTGTCAAAAGTATAGAATAATAAAGCGATCTATTTACGAAATTTCCGCAGGCGAAGTTGCGGGCGAACTGGCAAGTTGTAAATAAAATTAATTATATTGTCAAAATATGGCTTGTTTCGTTCGTTTGGACGGTAGGTCTAAAACTATACAATAAAATTGCTATATCAACAGAAGCCTTACAGTCACTAAATTGTTAATAATTCCAAATTTTGACGAGGCTTAGCTGTAGCCTGTTCATTTATCCGTAAAAATTAAAGGATGATATTATAGTCGTAAACTAAAATATATATCCCCCTAGCTTGGTTAAGCGCAACTCGAGTTATTATTAAACTTTTATCCATAAAACATATTTAAGTCTGCTTTTTTTTGTGATTGAGGGGTCCAACTCCGCCAGGGACTACCATTGTCCTTCTTGGGGCATTTTTAAAATATAATTTTGAAATCCAGTGCTTAGAGTACAAATAAGACATTGGGAGGGTAGGCGCGGGAGTGCGGGAAAGCGGGCTTAGATTAGACACTAGCCGCTCCAAATAGCGTTCGGAAGTAAATGGCAAAAACAAAACAATACAAACAAACAACAAAGAGACTATATTTTCAAACTAATTTTGTTAGCCCTAACACAAAACAATCACTGTGCACTCGCGAAGCGAAATAATGTGATTAGAAACATAAAAACGAAAATCTTTATAAAAACATACATATTTATTAAGCTCGGGAGGTTTATTATCAAAGAGAACTTAGGTTTGGAGCGCAAGACAAAAGCACGAGCGGTCACTGTAAGATCGAAAGCTTTTTTTGATTTATTAACACTTCTAAAAATGTTTACTTTATCTTCAAATCAATTGATGAAAATTTGTGTAAGTTCTGGACCTCGGATCACGACAATATTACTAACATATTTTGGATAACACAGTCTGAAACGGTTTTTATACCCGTTACTCTTAAAGTAAATGGGTATTATGTATTCGGGGAAAAGAATGTTACAGGTAGAAGGAAGCTTCTCCGACCCTATAAAGTATATAAGCTCTTGATCAGCAACACTAGCAGAGTCGATCTAGCCAAGTCCACCCGACCGTATGAACGCTGAGATCTCGGAAACTATAAGAGCTAGACAGTTGAGATTTCAGATTTATATTCATATTGGTAGCTAAAATATATTGCGATCGAAAATACCAATCGATAGATTAAAAATATTTTGACATGCTCACTCTAACGCCCAAATATGCCTTTTGTTTTTTATTTGAGTGATTGGATAAGAATCGTATTCAACATAACGTTTACATCCCAGCGGAAAAAAACTGGTTTTAAAGTGGATTCTTTAAGCTCGTTTTTTGTAACTTGTTCGTTCGATTGACTCATAATTTTATTTATCCTAGGCGGCAACATGTTAACTGATATGAGTGGTGACAACGACGGGTCAAAAACAGTATAATCCGATATTGAAGTGCAAGAAAACATATCTAGTAGTAGCCAATAATAAAAGCTTTTCAGTATCATGTATCCCGTTGCCCATCCATAAGCATCTAGAAAGTTCCGTTGGAAAAGCTGTGAAGGGGTGGGATCGGCTGGACAATGGTAAATTTAGAAATTGTGTCGATGATCGATGATCACTTGTTTTGTGTATTCTTAGCAGACCTATGTTACCTATAATGCTTGACGGTGAAGATTTCCCTCCCTCTTCAATCACAAATACGTCTGGCAATCGATTTTTGCAATGCCAAAATATTGTAGTCGGGAAATTTCGAACACAGCATTATGTATTAGGGTTAGTGTGAACAGGTCTCAACGTAAGGCGTTCACGCTTTGGAAAGAATTGCAATTGCTGCAACGAATCTTTGTTCGAAAAATTAATTATATGGCGTCATGTAATCCCAAACATTATGTAACTGTGTTTTCTTAGAGTTTGTGCCTCTTCAATAATTAATTGGTTCTGGAAGCAAATCAGGGGTTTGTCGGTTGTCTGGTGTGAGTAAGCGAAACTTCACTGTGTTTTGGGGATGCGCACGACTTGGATTCTTGAGCCCCGATGACACTCAGCTGTTGTCTTGAAAGGTCACCGTGAACCATATTCTCTTTGCTGGTCATAAAAGAATTCGATGTCCTTGATAACATAGAAATTGGACGCCCTTTTTGGGAAAGCACTACGCCCATGCCATAGGCTGAGGCATCTGTTGTTAGTTCAAATGGCTTTTTATAATAAGGGTAACTGAGCAAAATGGAACGTCTTTTTTTCACGAATTATGCCTTTTGACACTTCCCTTTTCGACTTTCAGTATATTAACAAGTGTTATGTGCTAAACGACAAAAATATGCACAAATTGGAATTTAGCAAAGCTGTTTACCTTAAGACTGATAACGATAGGCGAAAAATCGATACAACACTATCGACGACTCGTGAGTTCAGGGAGTCGTGCAGCCTAGACAAGTCATGAAACTGGTTCCTTAAACCGGATAACTCCCAAATGAACCAAGGTTGAGATTCGAAAAGTTTGAGTGGTTTTTGGGGGAAGAGGCTTGAAAAATAGAAACAAGCAAGGGTGTTTAAAGGGCAAATATAGTTGGTCGCAGACGGTTCTGGTGGAAAAAAATATATATAAGATTAGAAGTCAAGTAACTACCCAGTGAGTGATAAAAAAAATCCTTGTTAATGTGAGTGGAGTTGAAATATAAATATTTATAGAATATTCCGTGAGGGAAAAGCCTGGATCAGGAAAATATACTGACGTAAGGAGAGACGAAGACCAGCCACCAGGAGGAGATCTACATTTTCGACAAGAAAATTGGCCACTCATCCCCTGGTGGCCCCAGGTTTTTATTCGCCCCTTATATTTGCCACCCAGAATTAGCAAAAGGTTCTCGAAAACTACAAGCGGCAAACAAATTCAACAAGCCAAAATTAATACAAAAAAATTGAGACTGCTGTTATTGATTATGTAACCCGCCCAAATTAATTTATTCCCACTTATATCCATTTAAATTATTTATTTATTTAACCTATTTATTTACTATTGGAATATTGTTTATTGTTATTTATTTATTTATATATATATATATATGTGTTCCCTGTAAAAGTTCGGTACCATAGGTAGGATTATTAAATGTTAAAACTTAAGAGAAAATTGTGAATTATAACGTGAAAACGAAATGAAATCGTGTGAGTAGAAATTCGTGTTGGGGGGTGAGATGAGTTAGGCGAGGTAGCACGATACACCGAACAGGATTGGGAGATGTGTCCAAAGGATGTTGAAGGACACACTCATGGTTGGGAGGGGCTCCAGGACCACAATAACAGCTGTGTTGTCCAGTCCAGATGTTCGAGAAAAATCCGTCGTGAAATTGCCGTTGTCCGAGTTTGAATTTCCGTTTTGTTTTTGTTGTGTCTGCTGCGTAGACAACATTGTTGGTTGTTCCCCTCCCTGGGATGTTCGTTGACTAGCCGGCATCTACACTGCGCGAAAAGCAGGACTCGACAAATGGCGCCCCTATGAAAATATAAGAAATTAATGAAATGGAATCAATAAAAGTAAAAATTTTCAAGCATAACGTAGAAAGTAAATACTCACCAGAGAATGCGTTAATAGAAAGCGACATCGGAAACCAGCTGTTTGGACCGTGGGCGGGCCTAGAAGGTCGAACCCATCGTAGCCACAGTGAGTGAAATTCCGAAAGGTCCTTTCTGCTGAGCACAATCCTTGCTGAGAGAGAGAAGACCGATTAGAAGTGGACCCATGACCGAGTAAAGCGGGACATGCGAGGCCAGGCTAGGAGGTTCATCAGTATATGAAATAGAAAAAGAAAACAATTGTCTTTTTAATATGTTGTCTGTGGTAAAGTAAATGTGTAGTAACTTATCTAAATTTGTTTTCTATGTTTGGAGTTGGTGTGGTCCATGTACGCTGTGAATAAAGTGTGACATCGTTGCCCAGCCAGTTTCAAGTAGAGTCTGAAAGATAAGGAGTAAATTAAATTATTAAAATCGTTTAAGTACTTGTGAAAAATTAACACGAACGGATTAGGAACTGAAGGAAAGGAGAGAAAAGTTAGTGGGTAATGTAAATAGCTACGTCTAATCCCCCCAGATTAAAAAAAATTTGAAGAAAGAGATAAGAAAAACAAATATACATGAGAAAGGAACTAGGATATGCCAAATAGTGATAGGAATAGAGTTCAAATTGGAAGAAAATTGAGGAGAAGTTTGGAGTTCATCCGGAATAGGGGACCAGCAGGTATGACTCCGCTAGTAACTCGCTCACAAGCAAATCAAGAGGAGAAATTGGAGAACATATCGGCACCCGAAGGCATGGAGTCGCTAAGGGAGCAGAATCCTGAAGGAATGGGAAGCGGAAGTCCAGGAGAAGCTAGTGGTCTTCAAGCGGTAGGCGGAACCGGGGCCATACCAAAGTCTTTGCCATCTAAGATAAAATCAGGGGTTAATGCGGCACTGGTTCAAGCTCAACATACGTACCAGGTGGGAATGTCGACGGAGTACGACATGTTCAAACAGCAGATGCAGCAGGATATGATGCAGTTCATGAAGGACATCAATGACTGCATGGCGGAGTGGCGCAGGGATTTCGTAAAGGAAAAGCAGCATGGCAGGCATCTACGCAGGTTCGCCAGGCCCAAGGACAACAAGTTGGACAGGGCCAAATACCCTCTTCGGGCCTTGCAGAGCAGCCGCGGGCAAATCCGAGTCAGATGCCACCATTCGACCCGAGGATGCTACAACAACCTCCGCCAATCATACTGCCGGGGGTAAGTCACCACATGGGTTTCCCGCCGCCAACATCTGGGGCGCTGTCCGAGAAGCAGGAGATGAATCGGCAAACCGCCTGGTCGACGGAGCAGGAACCAAGGAGATGGAATGGGTCTCACATGACGCCGCCAGAACATCCTCCTGGAAACGGTGGGACTCACAACAACTTCAATCCAGGACCGGATCAGCGTCGGTCAAGCGGGGCAGTGGGCGATTCTGCGTTTAAAGTCGGCCAACTGCGGAAGTGGGGGCTCAGTTTTGATGGAAGTCCCAGAAGCATGCCCGTGTCAGAGTTTATATTCCGCCTCGAACATCTCCAAAGGTCGTATCAGGTGCCGTAGAAGGAGGTCCTAAGAGAATTTCACGTGTCAGTTGAAGGACAAGCCAAGGAATGGTACTGGATGTACGTGAGGTCAACGGAGAAGCAAGAGTGGACTTACCTGAGGTACGCACTACAGCAGCAGTTCCAGAGTCACCGATCCAACTTCGAGCGAGAGTATGAGCTGCGAGAACGGAAGCAGAAGCCGGGAGAAACCATCGAGATGTATATCCAGACCATGCTAGCGCTCAGATCTCGACTAGAGATGCCGTTTTCCGACTTTGACCTGATAAAAGTAATAAAAATGAACATTCGGGATCAGATTTCGAGAATACCCGATATACATCACTAATATGGATCAACTCCGACATGAATGCCACGATGCGGAGAGAATATTGGCGACCCGGTGGACCCAACATCCCAGCAACCTCGAAACTCACCGAGGGTATAAAGATCGTCCGAGGATCGATGAGCTTTGTCCGGAATCAGTCGGAGAAGAGAGTGTACCTGGAGAACAAGAGGAAGTGGAGCCATTAGCTAGACACTGGGAGACCAACAGGGAACGACAGCCACTTACATGCTGGAATTGTGGAACCGTGGGACACCCATTCAACGCGTGTGAATCGGAGGTGTTAAAGGTGTTCTGTTTCAAGTGTGGACTACCCGGTGTGAGGACTCCAAGATGTACTCGATGCCAAACGGGAAACGGTGTGAGGAGCTTGGGCAAGAACGAGGAACCACGCTCCAATCCGTTTGAAAGCCTCGTCAAATTGCATGCCTAATGATAAGGATAGCTGTAAGGAGAATAAAATTTGTAAAATTCTGATAAATATAAATAAACCAGCACATACCATTAAATGGTCGAAACGTGAACCGATAGCAGTCCGGGAAGCACATTACCAAGAGGTCAGGAACCGAATATTTGGGAAAAATGATCCGGACCGGAACATTTCGCCAAAAATTGCCAGAGCCCGTAGGAGAAGTCAGCAGCGGAAGGCAGAAAGAAGGGTGATTTGTTCGGCCATCAGAGCTGCGGTGGAAGGCGACAACAGACCATTCGCACAGGTGAAGATCGAAGACCTGGAGGTCGTGGGTCTCTTGGATTCCGGGGCATCAGTAAGCTTGCTTGGGGAAGGTTGCCTAGAAACAGTGGAAAGGTTAGGACTGAAATTAGAGAGATCACAATCGATAATGATATCAGCAGGAGGCACACAGCATCGAGTAGTGGGGAAGATTCAACCCAGCATCTCGTATAATGGGGTAACACATCGATTGCCGATACTCCTTTGTCCATCTTAGAATCAAAAATTGTACCTGGGCATAGATTTCTGGAGAAAATTCGAATTGGCACCAGAGGTGGTGGGTGTAGAATCCTTACACCAGGTGGAATCCGAGTTTATGGCCAAAGGAGAACCGATAGAGGCACATATCCTATCCCCCGAACAGACTGAGCAACTGGAAGAAGCAAAAGGACGTTTTCTGACCTACGAAAGTCAAGGATTAGGACTTACCAAGGTAGAAGAACACTCGATCCAGTTAGTTGAAGGAGCTGTACCCGTCAAGGAGAGATTCTTTCCCGTGTCTCCGGCGAAACAACAACTGGTATTCGCAGAAGTCGATGAAATGCTACGGTTAGGAGTCATCGAGTTAAGTGAAAGTCCCTGGAACAACCGAACGACGCTGGTACAGAAACCTGGAAAGAATAGGCTGTGCTTAGACGCGAGAAAACTAAACACACTTACAGTGAAGGATGCTTACCCGCTACAGAACATTGAGTCGATTTTAAGCCGGGTGGATGAGACGATTTTCATCAGCAGTATAGATTTGAAACATGCGTTCTGGCAAGTGGAACTCGATGAGAAAAGTCGTCCCTTGACCGCTTTCACAATACCTGGAGGGCCACTTTATCAGTTTCGACGGATGCCATTCGGATTATGTAATTCGGCTCAAAGGTTGTGTAGGGTAATGGACAAGGTAATCCCACAGCGTCTTCGCAGCCGCGTTTTTGTATACTTGGATGACTTGCTGATGATATCCAAGACTTTCGAAGAACACTGCATGTTGCTGAAAGAAGTGGTAGAGTGTTTGAATAAAGCAAATTTGACGATCGGGCTACACAAGTCAAAATTTTGTTTTAAATACTTGCGATATTTGGGATTCATAATCGGTGATGGGGCCTTGCGGACGGATCCGAAGAAAGTTGAGGCGATTATGAAGATAGAGGTGCCCAAAAATACGCGAAAACTACGCAGCTTCTTAGGAACCGCAGGCTGGTATCGCAGATTTATCCAAAATTTCTCCGGTGTAAGTGCGCCGCTCACGGACTGCCTTAAAAATAAAACAAAATTTATGTGGACGGAGGAAGCAACTACGGCATTCGAAACGCTGAAGAAAGCACTTACCTGTGCGCCGGTATTAACTCATCCAGACTTTGGAAAACACTTCTGGATACAGTGTGACGCCAGCCATGTAGGAATTGGGGCAGTATTAACCAGCAAGACGTAGAAGGATCGGACCGGCCAATAGCATTCTTTTCGGCGAAGCTGAGAGGAGCACAACTCAATTACAGCGTAACGAAAAAAAAGAGTGTCTCGCAGCAGTAAAAGCCGTAGAAAGATTCCGTCCCTATGTGGAGTTGATGCCGTTCACGATCGTTACCGACCATGCAAGCCTGCAATGGCTTATGACGCTCAAGGACTTGAACGGGAGGCTGGCGCGGTGGTCATTAGCGTTACAGGCATTCGACTTCAACATAGAGCATCGGAAAGGGAAAGACAACATCGTGGCCGACATGCTATCTCGGCCGAATGAAACCGCCAAAGTAGAGTTCTTCGAGTTTGAAACAACTGAATTTGAGAGTCCTGAATACCTGGAAAGACTGCAGTTGGTTGAAGAGCAAGGAAGAGATAAATTTCCGGACCTACGTGTGAAAGAAGGACTTCTATTCAAGAAGACACACTTCAATAGAGAGGAAAGTGGGGAATTTGAATGGAAACTGTGGATTCCGGAAGCATTGACGACAACTCTAATCCAGCAAGCCCACAGCGGCGACATGGCGATGCATGGGGGTATGGCAAAGACCTTGGCGAGACTTCAGCAGATGTATTACTGGCCCAAAATGGTAATTCAAGTCCGAGACTTTGTAGCAGCCTGCGAAAACTGCAAAGAGAACAAGCACACAACACAGATAAAGCGACCAGTGATGGGGAAGGAAGTACGGACAGATCGACCCATTCAAAAGATGTACCTGGATTTCTTAGGAAAATATCCGCGGTCTCGCCGAGGAAATACCATGCTATTTATCGCATTAGATCACTTGACCAAGTTTGTGTGGCTAAAAGCGATGCCGAAGGCCACATCGACAGCTGTAATCCGATTCCTGCAAGAAGAAATATTCACCCAATTCGGAGTTCCGGAAACAATCCACACGGACAACGGAAGACAGTTTGTATCCAAGGAATTCGAGAATATGCTACAAGAATATGGAATTACACACATGAAGACAGGGAGATACGCACCACAATCCAATGTTTCGGAGAGAGTGAACCAATCCGTATTAGCAGCAATCCGAGTAAACATCCAAGACGACCACACGCGATGGGATGAACACTTACCGGACATACAAGCGTCGCTGAGGTCATCCATACATAGCAGCACCGGAACTTCGCCGTATTTTGCCATGTTCGGACAGCACATGTTCACGAACGGGAAAGATTACTCGCTGGCTCGCAAGTTGAATGCCCTGAATGAAGCTGAGATAGCCCAATTGCCCAGGTCGAAACGACAACAGCTATCCAGAGAAAAAAATAAAGGAAAGGATACATCAGGCCTACGAGAAAGCAGCGAAGAGTTACAACTTAAAGGCCCGAGAGATTCGATACTCACCGGGGCAAGAAATATACAAGAGAAACTTTGTCCTAAGTGACTTCAGCAAGAATAGGAATTTCAAGTTTTGCAGAAAGTACACTAAATGTCGAGTCACAAAAGCGTTGGGAAACTCTTTGTACGCTTTAGAAAACTTGCGCGGCAATCCTTTGGGAGATTTCCATGCAAAGGATCTGAAACAATAGTGCCCGGCTAGCAAATCACACTCACCAGGCATTAATCTCAGGGTTGTGGGCGGTGGCCTACGTTGGGCAGTACAACCAGCAGAACACGCACATCCTCCACTCCAGTTCCGAGACGAGCATCGAAACCGTAGTGTGCTTGTTATGTGCTAAACGACAAAAATATGCACAAATTGGAATTTAGCAAAGCTGTTTACCTTAAGACTGATAACGATAGGCGAAAAATCGATACAACACTATCGACGACTCGTGAGTTCAGGGGTGCAAGGGTGTTTAAAGGGCAAATATAGTTGGTCGCAGACGGTTCTGGTGGAAAAAAATATATATAAGATTAGAAGTCAAGTTCCTACCCAGTGAGTGATAAAAAAAATCCTTGTTAATGTGAGTGGAGTTGAAATATAAATATTTATAGAATATTCCGTGAGGGAAAAGCCTGGATCAGGAAAATATACTGACGTAAGGAGAGACGAAGACCAGCCACCAGGAGGAGATCTACATTTTCGACAAGAAAATTGGCCACTCATCCCCGGGTGGCCCCAGGTTTTTATTCGCCCCTTATATTTGCCACCCAGAATTAGCAAAAGGTTCTCGAAAACTACAAGCGGCAAACAATTCAACAAGCCAAAATTAATACAAAAAAATTGAGACTGCTGTTATTGATTATGTAACCCGCCCAAATTAATTTATTCCCACTTATATCCATTTAAATTATTTATTTATTTAACCTATTTATTTACTATTGGAATATTGTTTATTGTTATTTATTTATTTATATATATATATATGTGTTCCCTGTAAAAGTTCGGTACCGTAGGTAGGATTATTAAATGTTAAAACTTAAGAGAAAATTGTGAATTATAACGTGAAAACGAAATGAAATCGTGTGAGTAGAAATTCGTGTTGGGGGGTGAGATGAGTTAGGCGAGGTAGCACGATACACCGAACAGGATTGGGAGATGTGTCCAAAGGATGTTGAAGGACACACTCATGGTTGAAAGGGACTCCAGGACCACAATAACAGCTGTGTTGTCCAGTCCAGATGTTCGAGAAAAATCCGTCGTGAAATTGCCGTTGTCCGAGTTTGAATTTCCGTTTTTTTTTTGTTGTGTCTGCTGCGTAGACAACATTGTTGGTTGTTCCCCTCCCTGGGATGTTCGTTGACTAGCCGGCATCTACACTGCGCGAAAAGCAGGACACGACACAAGGATACCCGTTACTCAGCTAAAGGAACCAAAGGGAAACGGAGATGTGCAAGCAGCAAAGCGAGATTAAAATGCGCCACCTACCGATGGTAGACAGATTTAAGCGATATGGGCGTTAGAGTGGGCGTGGCAATCTTTTTTTTTAATCAATCGATAGGTATTGACGAGACCAATACAGTTCAGTTAAAATTTTTGAACTAGCATGTGGGCGTCACAGGCTTGGGCGGCTTGTGGGCGCTAGAGTGGGCGTGGCATATAACATAACAAACTTGCTCTGCGCTCAAAGCTACGGAATCTAAATCTGAGATCCCAATTCTCTATCTTTAATAGTTTCCGAGATATCCACGTTCATACTTACGATTTTTGAGAAGTTTATGGGCGGTTTGTGGGAGTTAAAGTGGGCGTGGCAATTGAGATGATGATTGATGAGAACAATACATTTCAGTTAAATTTTTATTCTAGCATCAAAACTGTAGGAGCCACAGTTTTGGGCGGTTTGTGGGCGTTAGAGTGGGCGTGGCACTCTGCTGAAACAAACTGGCGCTGCGTAAGAAGCTCAGGAATCTGCACCAAATCTCAATTACCTAGCTCTTATAGTTTCCGAGATCTCAGCGTTCATCCGGACAGACATGGATATGGCTAGATCGACTCGACTAGTGATCCTGATCAAGAATATTTATACTTTGTGGGGTCAAAAACGCTTCCTTAAGCCGGTTACATACTTTCCCACGAATCTAGTATACCCTTTTACTCTACGAGTAACGGGTATAAAAAGGGGTGTTGTTCCCTACAGAGAGAGGAGGGAGTGCCTAGTCTGTCCAGGGCTGCCTGACTATTTACTTACACACAGATTGAGAGGTGATCCGGGAGTCTTGAGGAGATGTTTAGCTTAGTAGACTCCTTATTCCACCTGGTCCTCGAGTTATGATCCAACAGTATAGATGAGAATAGATGGGGGGCCCGGTGGTGGTCCATTCTTTTCCTGACAGTGACAAGAGCTCAAGCTTGATATTGGCATGCGAAAAGTTGGATTGGTTTCATAGTCCAGCGACCTTCATCTCGATCGCTGAGCCGTTTCCGATGGGATGTGTATCTCACACGATAACTATTCCCTCGCCTGGAGTCGTAAAGCCCATGTACGACTCCACTCATGCAGAC